TCAAAAGAATTAAGGGGGAAAATATAGTCATTTCAATAGATGCTGGAAAAGCATTTGATGAAATTCAAAATCTCTTTATAATAAAACCCATCAATAAATTGAGTATAGAAGAAATATGTTTTAACACTATAAAAAGTCATTTGTGAAGATCCCACAGCTAATATTATACCAAACAGGGGAAAATTAAAGTTCTTTCTACTAAGATTTAAAGTAAGATGAAGATGCCCAGTTTCACCACTGCCATTCTACATAGTACTAGAAGTACTAGCAAGACCAATTAGGCAAGAGAAAGAAATAAACATACTCAAAGTGGAACGAAAGAAGTCAAGTTATCTTTTTTCATAAAAGAAATGACCCTATATTCAGACAAACATAAAAACTCCATACCACCCCCCAAAAGAAAAAAAGAAACACTCTCTTAGAACTGGTAAAGAAATTTAGTAAAGTTTCAGGGTTTAAAGTCAACATATAAATGCCAGTAGCATTTCTATCTGCTAAAAGTGATCAGTCTGAAAAAGAAATAAAAAATCAATCACATTTACAATAACCATAAAAAACAAAATAGAATATCAACAAATATCAACAAGTAGATTTAACCACAGAAGTGGAAGCTCCATATAAGAAAACTATAAAACACTTACAAAAGAAAATGAGGAAAACACAAAATAATGAAAAGATATTCATGCTTATGTTTGGAAAATTTAAATTATTAAAATGTCTATGCTACTCAAAGCTATCTACAGATTCAATGCAATACCTATTAAAATGCCAATGAATTTTTTTTCTTTTTGAGACAGAGTTTCACTATATCACTCTCAGTAGAGTAATATGGCATCACAGCTCACAGCAACCTCAAACTCTTGGACTTCAGAGATTCTCTTGCCTCAGCCTCCCAAGTAGCTGGGACTACAGGTGCCCACCAGAATGCCTAGCTATTTTTTTGTTGCAGTTGTCATTGTTTAGCTGACCTGGGCCAGGTTCAAACCCACCACTCTTGGTGCATGTGGCAGGCGCTGTAATCACTGTGCTATGGGCACTGATCCTGCCAGTGACCTTATTCTAAGAAATAGAAAAAGAATCCTAAAATTCATATGGAACTATGAAAGATCTCAGGTAAAAAGAACAGTATTGACAGGAATGGGACACAAGATTATGCTCCCTGATTTTAAATTATACTGCAGAGTTATAGTAACCATAACTTGTTTTTTATTACCAAGCCCTGGCATTAAAAAAAAAGTCATGTAGAGCAGTGGAATAGAATAGAGTATCCAGCAATATAGCTATTAGAAACCAACTCATTTTCAACAAAGCTTCCAAAGAACAGAATAATGTCTTCAATAAATGGTGATAAAAATACTGGATATCCATATGCAGAAGAATAAAAGTAGATTCCCATCTTTCATCATGTAAAAAATCAACTCAAAATGGATTAAAGACTTACATGTAAGGCATGAAACTATGAAAGTACTGAAAGAAAACATTGAGGACCATTTTAAGACCTTGGTCTGGGCAAAAACTTTGGGTAAGACCTCAGAAGGATAGGCAACAGAAGCAAAAATGGGCAAATGGAACATTCCTCACACAAAGAAATGATAAACGCTCAAAGTGATGGATATCCCAATTACCCTGATTTGATCATTACCCACTATGCACCTGTATTAAAACATCACATGTATCCCATAAATATATACAATCATTATGTATCCATAATAATTAAAAATAAACTTTAAAATATGTATATATATAAATGAGATTAACACAAAGATCAAAAACTTTAGCACGGTAAAGAAAGCAATGAACAAAATGCAGAAACAACCTAAAGAACAGGAGAAAACATCTACAAACTATAAGTATTCATCTAATAAGGGATTAATATCCAGAATATATAAGGACAAGAACAACTCAATAGTAAAAAAACAAATAATCTGATAATTATCTAATAATCTAATAATTTTAAATGGGAGAAAGACCTAAATAGACATTTCTCAAAGGAGACATACAAATGGCCAACAGGCATATGAAAAAAGCGCTCAACATGTCTCATATACCATAACACAACCATTATGTTCATAACACAATCATCTGAGAAATGCAAGTCAAACCACAATGGGACATCATCACATCCTAGTTAAAATGGCTATTATAAAAAGGACAAAAATAACAAATACTGGCAAAGATGCATTCATTAAAAAGGAAATGCTCATATACTGGTGGTAAAATGTAAAGTAGTATGATCCTACATAACAGCACATTGGATCTGTTCATGTTTGTGTGTATATAGTTCATATATAAATATTACATGTGTCAAGTAAATGATACAAACATGACTGTCTGCACACACTTTACAATCTTGACTTGAATGCCATGCAGAGAAAAGGGCAGGTATGGGTGGTTTCTTGGGTATTTTGAGACTCGGAGGATATAAATTTTTTTCTTTGTTTAATTAAAGAATGAAAATTAGAAGAGAATCATAGAATTCAATCTATGATTACTGAAAAATCCCAAGGCATCTCATTGTGTGAATAGGTAATAAAGTGAGATTTTCCCAAGGAGAACCCTAGAGAATAGCTCATTTGTATCATCTCTCAGGACTTCAATATTTAAAAATTCCTCATAGATAAAGATTCATTTCAGGGTTGGCACTTGAAAAATAATTGTTTACTTCAGTCAGAAATACAGCAAAAGTTTAAAATGAAATTTGCTACAAAAGTCAGTTTGGGCTCAGCTGTCAGGAGAGATGGTTGAAAATCACTGAGACTCAATATTTACCTCCAAATTTAAAATCTGTAGCTTAGATATCTGGATCTTGACTGTATGTAGTTTGAGGTGCCCTTACCTCTAGTTCTCTACCTGAGGAGCAAACTCATCCTAGACCTCCAGGTAAAAAGGAAGAAACTGAAGTGAATAGGTTGGAAGATCCTGAAGGGAACAAAACCTGTCCTAGGAGAAACCAAAATCTTCATTTGTATAATCTGCAGTCTATGTGGGAGTGGATATTTTTCTTTTACCCTTCTGTAAAATTCTCAGCCTTATAATTCTTACTGTTGGACTATTTGTGAGGTGTTCATTTTAGGTGCTAAGAGTCCCAAGAACCTGAAAGTATCATTGTCACTTGAGCTAGCTATCCCATCTCAGAATCTCTTTGTCTTCTGATCATTCATTCTTTTCACCACTGGTGCTCTCTTTCCCTTTTACTTTTCTTATGATCTCTTCTGGGTGATACACAGGGCACTACCTAAGTTGCAAAACAGAGTTGTCTGCAATTGGCCACTTGTTATCTGGTGTGTGTGAAAGGACCACAGTTCTGTGAGTATTAATGTTGAGTGTGTGCACTATAAGCACCAGTATTATAGTCTTTGGAGGTGTTAACACTCTCTCTGGGGGTGAGAATAAGAAAGACAAGAATTACAAATTTAACTGTTCTTGTGTCTACTAGAAGAACAACTACCAATGATCCTCTCTCTTCTACATGAGTAGTAATCATACCTTGTGTTTCTCCTTGTCACAGGACAGATCACCTAGCTGGACCAGCAATGTGTGAAAACAAACTTACACATTTGCAGTCTTTGACTTTCTCTACCTAAAGATGATCCTGACTACTGCAGCTTGCTTTTGATTAGTTAGAAAGGAAATGAAAAGGAGAGAAAAAGATGATCTTGCCATGAGGACTGAATTTCTGCTCTGACATTTCTTTCATTCTAAGGTAATGATTTTTCAACCCAGTGTACCATGAGAGGATCTTAGGTATGCCAGGAAAAAATTTAAAGATCATTAATTAAATTATTTTTCACAGAAGTTCAAAGCACAGTAAGTATATTCTTGTTTTTACTTTTTTTTTTTGATCAATATAATTTAAGTGTGCTATAGAAGTTTAACTTTAGGTTCAAGTGTGCAATGAGATAAAAAAAAAAAAAGGTTGAAAAACACTATCATAAGAGGTAGTTCTATGCCTACTACTTCAATCCTTCCTAGAGTTATCAGACTCCATACGTGAGTCCCAGATATTTGCCCATAACTCTGCTACAGTCCCTAACTCTTTCTGATCTATTTACCCCATTAGATTTGATCCAGTCATCTTATTCCTTGTTTATTGCTGATATACAGCAAAGTATAGACTTTGAATAATGTCTCCAAGCTGGCTTCAGAGAAAAGACCAATGCCTGACTTCTTACTGATGCACTCGTTTAACTGATTGGATAATCTAAATCAAACTGCAGCATGAATGAGGTCAAACACTGTTATGCCAGATTAGACCTTACAACTATGCAGATAAGTGTTATGGCTGCATTTGATATCCATAAAGGGCCTTACCTACCATAGTGTGTGGTGCTGCCTGTCTGGCTCCTTCTTCACTTTCTTGGATAAATGACAATGAAGTCCTTTTCTGCCTTACTTTTTAGCACTGCCATCACCCTCAAGGCTTGTTTCTCTGTCCTACAAAGAATTCAGGGAAAGATAAGGACTATAGATTACAACATGATTGAAAGTAACCCCTTAAAATTTCCTTTCTTGCTTGAAAGAATAATAGAGAATCCATAGGAAACAAAATACAAAAATTGACTATTGGCCTCTGATACATGATGAAAGTAAAGCTAATATCTGTGTGATAAGTAACTGAGAAAATAAAAGAAAACTCTAGCTTTCTACTATAGGGAAAATTATTCACATTTTCTCAAATCCATATACTTTTTCCTCAGTTCAGACAAATTACATGGAATGCTCCATGAAGACTTTTTGACAGTTTCCAAGCAATTGTTGAACAATGTCTCCATGGTTTATAGCACTCTGCCAGCAAGGATCACCAAGAAAGCATATCCTGCTTCATTGGGAATGTAGGGGTGGAAAAATTATAAAATCAAGTGTCTTATATATTTAAAAAAACTTTTAAAATCAAATACATTTGTTCTTCTGATGAGACATTCATTTTCTATATTTGGTGTTCCATCATTCAACATTTAATTGCTCTATTTATGCCAATCTGTAGATAGGAGTAAACATCAATGGGAAAAGAAAACCAAACCTATGTGACTGAATTTATCTTGCTTGGCCTTTCTTCAGACCAGCAGATGCAGATACTGCTTTTTGTGATATTTCTCATCATTTACTTGCTGACTGTGTTTGGGAATCTTCTCATCATACTACTAATTCATTTTGACTCTCAACTTCACACACCAATGTACTTCTTACTTAAAAATCTGTCATTTACTGATCTTTGCTTCTCTACAACTATTGTTCCCCAGCTGCTATTCCATTTGCTGGTCATGAGAAAGACCATCTCTTTCATGAGGTGCTTGATTCAGATGGTTTTTTTCCTTATAATGGGTTGCACAGAGAGTTCACTTCTAGCATCAATGTCCTATGACCGCTATGTGGCTGTCTGCAAACCCCTGCACTATTCTACCCTCATGTCCCAGAGGGTTTGTGTTCAACTAGCCATAGGGTCATGGGCCAGTGGAGTATTTGTGTCCTTAGTAGATACCACATTCACTTTATGTCTTCCATACCATGGACAGAATATAATTAATCATTATTTTTGTGAGCCTCCTGCTCTCCTGAAGCTGGCTTCAGCAGATACCTACAGCACAGAAATGGCCATCTTTGCAATGGGTGTGGTCATCCTTCTAGGTCCTGTCTCTCTTATCCTTTTTTCCTACTGGAATATTATCTCCACTGTGATTCAGATACAGTCAGGGAAAGGAAGGCTCAAGGTTTTCTCTACCTGCAGTTCCCATTTTATTGTTGTTTTCTTCTTCTATGGGTCAACAATATTTACCTACATGCAGCCTAATTCAAAGAAAATGAATGAAGGGGACAAGGTTATCTCAGTGTTCTACTCAGTCATAACATCTATGATGAATCCTTTCATTTATAGCCTAAGGAATAAGGATGTGAAGAAGGCATTTAGGAAAGTATTTGGAAGATAGAGCTTCTCAGAAGAAGGGATCTTTATATTGGTATGTAATCAGGGGGATGGAAACATTCCAAAGTGTTTCAGATCTTTAACATCCTTTTTCCCAAAACAATTTATAGTCTGAGATATCAACAAAGATCATACAGGAACTCCTGCATCCTTAGGAATATTTTCAGGTTTGTCTAATGCAGTCTTGTTCAAGCTTATTTTCTGTGGTTGCAGATTGCTTGCTTCACTTAGAGCTTAATGGCAGTATATGAAAGAAAAATTTTAATAGTAAGCAAGGTCTTTATTTACATGACCATTAGCCCATCAAATCCATTTTCAACCAGGGATATGATATTTGCTTTCAGCTTTGAACTCCACAGTTGCCTGCTAGACTTATCTCTTGCCAATCGTCCATAGTATCCAGTTTCTTGAAATCCTAGCAAATGTCAATATACTAGATTCCCCAATTTCCAGTGATAAAAAGTCAATAATTTCTTCTCATGAAGCTATGATACTGCAAACATTCCTTGGAGTTCCAAACTACTTCTATAGCCAATTTAACCATGCATGGGCAAACTCTTGGACTGTGCAACAAAATGTAGGATCTCATACTCCATCAAACATCTTTGATATCTCACACAATCCCTCCTTCCAACAATAATTGCTCATATGAGGAAAATGGACCAGAAGCAACTTTCTTACATTAGAACTGTCATGACATTAGACAGACATGGTCGAGCATACTGGTAGTCTCAGATACTCAGAAGGCCAAGGCAGAAGGATTGTTTGACCTTAGGAGTTCAAGCCTACTGTACTCCATCCTGGGCAACAGAGTGAAAGCCCATCTCCTTTAGAAAAAATAAATAAAATGAAATGAAATAGAATTATCACGTCATTACCCCCCATGATACCAATAGCCCACAGATGCCCCCTCCAAAACATACATACTCTTTTCCCTTCTGCAAGTCTAATTTTGCCAATATCCCTTTAGTTCTCTGTGGGAAGTGGAATAGAATGACAGACAATTGAAAAGCAATCCTAGAGTTTTTCTGTGGGACAAGTTGGCCAATTTAGTCTTTTCTGTCCACTGTCATGAAATTCTGTTGAGGCAGAAGCACCATCAGTGACATGTCTGTAGTTTCTCACTGGTGTTCTGCATGTGCCCTGTGCCTCCTTTAGAAGAAAATCAACTACTGTCCCACTTCCCATACTTAACTAAAAGTTTAACTCTAGGTATTAAGTGGAGTGCACCCAACATTTCATTGGTATGTAGGAATACCAACTACCTTCCCTGATTGTGGGGCCTAAGCCATGACAACAGGGCTGGGGACTACCCCTGTACTGTCCATTCTCCCATCATGATTCTCCATTTCTCCTGGAAGAAGGCCCATGACACAAACATATGCCATTACTTTGTATTTCCTTTTCTTTCCAGATTTACATCCATATGCTGTGAAGCCCTTTGCAGAAATTCTTTTCCTATAAAAAATAGTGCTGCTAATCTTAACCAAACCCTTTCTTCACAAACTGGGAAAGGTATTAAAGCACTTTATTGTTTTCCTGTGAGTAATTTAAATTTGGCATTCACCTCTTTATGATTTCCTCTTAATGTAGCTACAAACAAAGGAATTAGGAGTAGAGGATGATACAAACTATAGAAAATGGATAAGCCCTTATGAAAATGAAACTTACCACATAGACTTTTGGCTGCTACAGCTTCAATCACATGGCCAGTCCTTACTATCCAATGCTGTTCATTCTATGCAATGATGTCCTTGCTGGATTGTATGTATTGTGTGTAGAATGATTCTCCATGGGAGAATAATGTGTGCCATAATAGGTTTATGATATGCATGAGATATGTACTCTTTTCAGATTATGTGAACTAATACATATGATCCAATACAGGGAAGTAGACCGTTGGTGAAATTGACATTCTGCTTTCATCAAACACTGAACTATCTCTAAATGTTGGGTAATGAGAGAAAGTCAAACTTTAGAACTTTAAAACTATAGGTTTAAAACTGCACTGGAATCATAAAAGTTTTAGAAGAAAACATATAGGAGAAACTCTTCTCAAAATTGAGCCAGGAAAAGAATTTATGACTAAGACCACCTACACACATATAGCAACAACAAAAAATAAATAAATGGTACTTAATTAAAAAGTTTATGCACAGCAAAGGAAATCATCAACAGAGTAAATAGACCTGCAGAATGGGAGAAAATTTTCACAAACTATACATCTGATAAAGGATTAATATCCATAATCTACAAAGAACTCAAAAAAATTATTAAAAATTTTAAAACATGGGAGGAAAAACCACAAACATATTTTTTCAAGAGAAGATACACAAATGGCCAACAAACATCTGAAAAAATGCTAAACATCACTAATCATTAGGAAAATTCAAATTGAAATCACAATAAGATACTGCCTTACCCTCTCAGGATGGCCATTATTAAAAAGTCAAAAAGAGTAGATGTTGATGCAGATGTGGTGAAAAGGAATGCTTGTACACTTTTGGTGGGAATGGAAATTAGTACAATTTCTAGGGAAAACAGTATGGAGATTCCTCAAAGAAGTAAAAGTATACCTATTATTTGATCTAGCACTCCCATTGTTGGGTATTGACCCAAAATAAAAGAAGTCATTACATCAAAAAGGCTTCTGCTTCTGGATGTCTTTCATAGCACAATTCACAATAGCAAAGATACAAAATCAACCCAAGTCTCCATCAACTAATGAGTGGACTAAAAAACATATATATGTACATATATATATACATACACACACACACCATGGACTACTTCTCAACCATAAGAAGGAATTAAATAATGTCTTTTGCAGCAACTTGGATAGAACTGGAGACCATTGTCCCAAATGAAGTACCTTGGAAATAGAAAGACAAATGCCACATGTTCTCACTTATAGGGGTTTTAAATTTCTAAATAATGGGAGTACATGGTCATAAAATGATGCAATGAAAATCAGAAACTAAGAATGGGAGGTAGTGAGAGGTAGAAAATTACCTATTCCTATTCTGGTGATGGATACACTACAAGCCCAGACTTTAACATTATACAATTCATCCATGTAACAGGAACATTTGTATCTTTTAATATTTTGAAATGAAAATTATTTTAAAAGATAAAAATATTAGGAACATAAAAAAATAAATAAAATTAAATAGGTAATTAACAGATAAAATATTACCTAGAATACAAGTACATTATTCTGGTGATGGATAGGAACACTGAAACCCCTGATATCATCATTATACAATTCATCCATGTAACAAAAAATACTTGTACCACCAAATCCACTTCAATAAATTAATAAATAAAAGAGATTTATTTTTTAAAGTTAAAATGCCAGTCTAATAAATCAAAGGCTGAAAGTATGCCTAAAATGTGTGAATTGATGTATATTGGTATTTCTAAAGTATTAAGCATCATTTTAGGATAGATGGTTTGTTGTAGCAGTATATAGCTTCACATATCAAATATGACATATGAGGAAAAAATAATCAAAACTGAGAGGTATTATTTTATTGCTTTGTATAATAAAGTATATTGAAATCATTCAATTTCAGTGCTTATCTATCATTAGTCATTCAATTAGTCATTTAAATATTCAATTTCAGTGCTTATCTATCATTAGTCATTTAATTAGTCATTTAAATATCCAAACCCACTTCCTTGGGAACTTGCCTAGTGCTAGAAATAATTCTGTATCCTTTGGCACTCATATTTTACCCTCTGCTATATTGAAAGGAGCAGGACTGACAAAAAGGTTAAGTAATAATAAATATAAAGACAGGAAAACCTCAATCTATATGTCTGTTGTCAGAAATAATGGTTCATTTCCAACATTCTGGGGTTATCTGCATATTGTTCTCTGATGAAGGGTGGATTGGTGGGGTAGAGATTGACAGACAGTGGCAGCCTGGCTTACACAGTGGTGCTACTCATTAGTAAAAACTGAAACTGTGACATAACTTTGAGATGAAGATGATTCTATAAAAGGGTTTTAACGTTGGGCACACTGAAGAGAATTGTTGTACATGCATGAACTTACAAAATTACTTACAGAAAAAAATATTATATATTAAGTCTGATTATAATATTTCTACTCTAAAGTTCTGGTCAATAGTCAGAAGATCATTCCTACCACCTTTGACTTTCTCAACTTTCAGATTTGCTAAGTGATATAGTTAAAAATTTAGAAAGAAGGCAACATTCGTTCCACAGAGGTCAGATTGTGTGAGGGTAAAATATATGTCACAAATGAGCAATGGTCTGTAGTTGATCTGCAAGGCCCTTTTCAATGGGCAATCACACCTATACTTATGGAGAGGAATAAAAAAGTTGTACTGCTAAGCTTTCCATAATTAGAGAGATTGCTGGATTCTCATTGATGAGAATCAATGCAAAATGTTAGAAAAGCATAAAAACAGTGCTATAAATCAGTACTACCTAAAGTATAATAGGCTGATACTTTTCAGTGAACTGCTTGCTATCTATCAGTGATGGGAAACATTTAGAAACTTCCATAACAACTTGGTAATTATTTTTAACAGGTTGAACCCAAGCATTTGAAAAATTGAGGCTTTTACTCTGTATGTCTCTGTTTCCATTTTCAATATTACTGGTATTCCAGGAATTCATATATATGTTTTACACGAGTCCATAGCATATGGAAAACTTCAAAAATACAAAAAATACAAAATTAGGCAGATTGGCTCACACTTGTAATCCTACCACTCTGGGAGGCCCAGACCAGAGGATCACTTGAGGTCAGGAGTTCGAGACCAGCCTGAGCAAAGTGAGACCTTATCTCTACTAAAAATAGGAAAATTATCCAGATGTTATGGAAGGCATTTGTAGTCCCAGCTACTTGAGAAGCTGAGGAAGGAAGATTGCTTGAGCCCAAGAGTTCCAGATTGCTGTGAGCAAGGCTGAGGCCACAGTGCTCTTCCAGGGTGATATAGTGAGACTTTTCCCAAAAAAAAAAAAAAAGAA